TAACACATGTTGTGTTGCTATCATCACAAAATATAAAAGCTTATGGGATGCTGTAAGCAACATGCATCATGAAACACAGAGGTTTAACTTTGATGCTCAAAGTACGGCAATTCCCCCGCTGTAGAAGTAACACTGCAGCTGTATGTCTTTTAAACCACAATTATATGTGTGTGTGTGGGCTACATTTTATGCTAAATTAGTTTCAAACCACTTGATCCTTGATGCCTGCCAAGGCGGTTAGTTACAAAACTTCAGGCACTGCATTTACGGGACATGTACACTTCAAAGGTATGAAACTCTTACCTGGAGAATGATTTAACAGTTGGCTTGAAAGCAATGTACCCTTCATTAAAAAGCAGAGCCAAAAGTCCTTTAGACACTGCAGCACTTCAAAACTAAGGGGAGGGCTTTCCATTAACGCAATGGAAAAGGGCTGCAGGACTGAATGGTGGGTGTCTGCGTGTGTTTTTGTTCCTCTATGTCTTTGCAGCAGAAATGGCCACGGATCCATTAGCTTGATTTGTCACAGCGGGAGCACCCCAAAGATCTCTTATCAGCACAACGTACCTCTCGAGTGGCGAGTCTGTCGCTCATCTCCTCCGCCTTTGCAATGTCCCCTTCAGCGATGGCCCCCTCTATGCTCTTTTCTAGGCCGGACTGCAGAAGAGGGAAAAAAAAATTCAGATTTTTTTTTTTTTAAATAGGGGTAGAGAGAGAAAAAAATCAAAGAGTAACTTCAAAAGTCCCCAGGGCCTTATTTTTAATATGATTGCCATTACTACAAATATGTAGATTTCCCTTCACAAATGAAAACCTTTTTGATTGGATATTAGTGGGGAAATCTTAGAAATGCTACAGGAGATTACCAAACATACATGTGACTCTTTAATTACACATTTCCATTACAGGCCGAAGCAGAAGGGGGTGCGGAGAGGGCCCCCGGTTACTGATGGCAGTTCTGCTGTGATGAGCCTATCTGAGGAAGCGCAGGACCGGATTTCTTCAGCCCCCAAAATGTCATCATGCTAAAAAAACTACACTGGAAAGAGACTGTAATTATTAATGTGTACCCTCTGATGTATTGTCTGAGGACCTTGACTCAACTGTAAAAGTACAAGGACGATACCATCAGGCTTAAAAACCCCACAATTATAACTATTTTCTGTAACTTTAGTTGCTTGTTATGTTTTTTATCGTTTATAAAAAACCAAATCTGACACTGATAAGACCCGACTTGTGATCTCAATCATCGTCTACTGTATCTCACTAACAAGACTCTAACTGACAGCATTCTTTATGCCACGAAACATGTTTTAAGGTCACTGAAGTAAAATGCTGTTGCATATTAATTAATGAAATCTGGCTGCTTTGTAAGCTTTTTCCTCAAATGACTGTGTGAAAGACTTGGCGGAATAAAAGCAAATATGATATATTAATTACAAAGAACTGCATTTGAGGGATAAAGGAGCCCCTCATTATGTTGATGTGACAAGTTCTGTTTCATTCAGCTTGTTAATCATTTCTTTTATCTTTTTCATAGTGGTCTTATTCAAATTAGGCTAAAATCAGCAAAAAAGAAACCTCAATTTTATGCTGCTCTTAGATAAATTAAGCACAAAATACTCCAAAATAATCATTAAAAGGATTTCAAATTGAATCGCGCACAGTTCCCTTTCAGTGGGTCAGCTATAATGTTCATCAAGCTTGCAAATATTTTTGCTTCATTGGCAATTTGCAAACGTTTGCATTCATCTTCAAGTGCAGAAATGTATCCCAATGAAAGAAAGTTATAATTTCTTTCAGTGATGAATTCCACACAAGCCCATCTATTATCTAACCATTCATTTAAATGTTCTAGCTGCAGTCACTGAGGCCGTATCAGGTACTATTCTTTTGTCAAGCTACATTTATTAGCTTTTTCGCAGAGGGGAAAAAAAACCTACATTTCACTTTAATCTCACACACACAAGAAAGGAGATTCATCCTAATCTTATCACTAAATGTAACCAAACATAATCCCTAATATTCATCTCAGTGTCAGGTTGAGAGTATTCTAATCCATATCACAGAAAACAATGAGAGGATACAGTGTCAGGGAAACACAAAGGATGGGAAGGTGTTACTAACAGCTTCGACTGACACAGTATTAAACCTCAGCAGATAAATTGGAAGGCAGGAGTCTTTGTTACCTTCGGAGGGGGTTTGGAACATGCAGGGGGATGAAATCGATCATTTACACCGAAATGCTGCTTAAGCTCATTCCAGTGCTGCTCATGCTCCTCCTGATGCTCTCTGCTGACAGAGGGAAAGAGTTCATGTTCATTACATGTAGCACAGCACTGTGATAAGGCAGACTAATACTGTCTCACTATAGTCTGAATACGCATCTATCACACAGTATGGTTACTTCGAATGCACTGCACTACATTTCAGAGGTAAACATTGTACCTCTTACTGCAGGATAATTATCTGACAGCTGTAGTTACTTTCAATATTTCACTTAGACAATATGATGTACCTAACTAACACCATTGATTAATTAATAATAAATATAATATTTTATGATATATAAAGCTAATTTCCTGATAATTCTTTAGTAACATTCTGTTTCATTTTAGGCATAACACATATTGTTCACTAGGGCTGTGTAACACCGACATATACAGTATAAAACATTTGATTTGGTGTTTTAATTTGTTTTTTTAAACATAGTTTTTTGTATAATTTGTGTAAACGAAAAAAACTGAAAGAAACGACATTGATACGTTTAAAAACAATAAGGCTTATGGTCAATACTGGCATATTGAACCGCCCTTATTGTACACACAAAGAAAGTACACAATACAACTATGATGCTACGCTGATTGGTGCTCAGAGCTTACTGATGGATAGATGAATAAGTAAATAATTGCTTTACTACAAATGATCTCTATTTTGTGGATGTGATTACTAAATATCATATATACTTCCATTGTATATAGCATGCAATAGATTTTGGGCCGGCGACAGCCATTCACTTATTAGATCGGAGGATGAAACCCCCTTTAGTTGTCACACACATGTACATGCACACAGCACACACAGTGAAATTGGACCTCAGCATTTAACCCATCCTAGTACAAGGAGCATTGTGCAGCTATTGTACAGCGCCCGGGAAGGAATTGCTCAAGGGCACCACGGCAGTGCCAAGGAGGTGAACGTGGACCTCTCCAAGTCGCAGTCTACACTCCATATTAAGGTCATTGCGGGGGCTTGAACCGGTGATCCTACAGTTCCCAAGCCAAATCCCTACAGACTATGTTCCTGTCAATTAGTAATGAGGGTCAACCAGCACTAAACTGAACTGTTCATATTAGATCATACATTACAGCTTTCATGTCTGATTTATTTAAGGCTTTTATCATTATATGATAGGGCTGCAAGACAACTGAGATTTGGCTATATTCACTACACTTCCAGATTACACAATTGCATGTGAAGAATGATGCGGATTTATGTTGTAAAAAATCAGTTCTCTGGTTAGAAATGTTTTATATTATAAGGTACCTTGTCTCTGTAGTTTCCTCACTGTTTGTTCCTGTTGATTGACATAAGAGACACAGTTACATATTTGTAAAATATATGAGCGTCACTAAACAGAAGTCTTCATGTCTACTAGGCGGCTGTGGCTCAGTGGAAAGTGTGCTGGACTTGGCATCAGGGGGATAGCAAGTTCGAGTCCCACTGCAGTCAGCATGTCGTTGTGTCCCTGAGACACTTCACCCCAAATTGCTCCTGTGGGGATCGTCCACAGTATTGAATATGTAAGTCGCTTTGGATAAAAGTGTCTAACATGTAATGTAATGTAATACTAGGAGGGACAATAGGGTGATTTGTTACATACAATATTAAGACCAGAATATGAAATAATAAATAATAGTCTTTGCTGTGCAGATCCTGAAATTATATATTTACATCTCACACATGCACGCCGGACAGAAGGAAGGCCCAACATCAATATACCGTATCAAACATTACATTTTGATTGAATTATAGTAACTATGATGGATACCTTTCTTGTGTCGTCTTCTTTTTCTTTTTTGGGGGACCTTCATTGTCTTAATTTTTTCATTTTTCTCCCGTAGATCCTGGAATTTCTAACACACACACACACACACACACACACACACACACACACACACACACACACACACACACACACACACACACACACACACACACACACACATTACATTCACAAAATACAACTACTACCCCTGATCTAACTCTGCTGTACACATCTTATAGTCTATGTTACGATACAAAAAGTCTTACAGGGCTTCTTAAACCATCCACAGCTCAAGATTAAGCAGAGCTTTCTTTTATATTTAGTCCCCACTAACAAGATAACAGGTACACCAACAGCTAGCTCAGTATTTCACATAATAAATGCTTAGCTTAGATGCACACCAAACCAACATACTTGCCACATTTCCTGAGATATACCAGGCATACTGCATGTCGGGGACTCATTGTCTGATTCACATGCAGTGTGAGTAGACTGTGTCTCTTTCACAGAGACTGTGTTTTCCCCTACAGAGCTCAACTTTTCAGCAGAGCTCTCACACTGCTCTCCCTCTCTCTGCTCCTCTGCTTCATCCTCATCGTCATCCGGACTGAGGTCTTCTTCGGTGAAACCTTTGGGCAAAAGACCGCTATACATATCGAGGCAGTAGATAAAGTCAGATTATAGGCTAAAGCATTATTGATCTGGACAGAAAACAGTCAGAAATGGCTAAATTAAAGATTACGGCTGTTGGAACAGGCTCTCATTTCCGGGTAAACACTGTGACGTTCCTGTTGAGAAAGGACCGATTGGCTGGAAGCTAGTCAGTTGAGCAGATGGTCCAATCAGAGCGTTTGAGAGGAGCGCAGCACGAGGGCCATACAAAGGCTCTTATTGGTTGTTTTGGTAAGAGCAACGTTTAACATTTTAGGGTTAATTTGGGGTTGTGTTTGACAAGAAGAGCGGTTTTATGGTGTAAACTTCCCGTTAAAAAGACATTTACACCACAGAAAAGAAGCGTCGAACAAATGTAAGGAGTTTAAGCTAGTCTTTGCAGCGAAGTAAAGTCCAGAACAGGCTGTTGTGGAGCATTTCTAATTGAGGTGAGCCAGGCTACTGACAGGTCCGTGAATTACCAGGAATCATTCAAATGTTAACCTATATTTGTGTCATGTTCTCTGCGAGATAAGCTTCCTTCTATGACCAATGGTTCGCAATTTGCTCAATGTGCTTTGGGCATTACATTATTATTAGAATGATTAGCATGCAAATCTTGTATAGCCCCTGGCACTGGCACAGGCACATCTACCCTTAAATTGCTCTTTCACACTCATTCACATTAGCTTTCTTTTGGTTGCATCTTATTGCAAAGCCAATAATCTACATAAATTATAGCCTGCATTCTCTGTGCCATATGCATTAGGAATAAAGTGAGACCTAACCAATGTATATATAAAAAGGTCAGGCTCACGTTGGCTGGACTCTGGCAGGAAGAAGTTTCTGGAAGAAACAAAAAATCTCAGTTAAAACTATAGTGTTGTATAGGACTAGCTAAGAATTGAAATGATCAGAGTTGGTTTAATACAAAGAAGATAATTTGGTGCCAATTCCTAAACAATTCTTCTTTTTATATATTTTAATTGTATGATACATTATACCAATCATTGCATTTAGCACAATTGGCCAAACTTGTAAAATATAAGCAGCCATACAGACACTTTGCCTTTCATGAAATGCAGTCTGAAATTGGCAAAATTATGATTTAAAGCCGATAAGTACAGAAACAATTTCCAATTTCACAATGGATGCATTGACAGAAAGTAAAAATGTCACAAATATTTTTCAATCTTCCTCAATGTGAGTATTTGCTGCTTCCTCTGCCCTTATTGTAAATTAAAAACACTAAACAAAGTCATTTTGGATTGGATTGGATTGGGGTTTTATACTGTTGGTCATGATAGATATTGTAAGACATTATTAGAGGCTGTTGGATCTTGTGGTTGGCTTATGCAAATATCCTTTACATTTGAAAGAATAGGTGATTAATACATTAATTTAAAAGATAATCACGAGGTTAATATACAATACAAATCACTTTGATTGCATCCTATATTTCAGAAACTGGAAATAATTACAAATTGGGCCAGACATTGAATGCAACAACCTGGAGACCTTGCAGTCCCCTTGACCTTCTTGTACCCTAAAATGGAGATTTACACAGTTCAGCTTTGCAAAATTCAGCTCAAATTACACTTGGTTGATGAGGCTTATGCTACAGTATATTGAATGTCATCTCAAACTTGTAAAATCTCCATGTCATCCTCTAAAATATAGAACGAGAAACTGGTATCACTCACTCAGCATTATCATGACTTTAATTACTTGTGTGACAAGTTGATGAGCATCGCAGCGTCTGAAGGTAAATGAGAGTCACAAAGTCTTGTTAACACCAAACAATTTTGGCATTACAGGTCTGAATCATTTCCTTATTGATTACCAGACTTTGTGTTCTATTTCACACTTGAATTAATGTCTCTCAGCTTTCCCACCATGCATTTCTCTGTGTCTCCCTCTCTCCCCTTCTCTGTGTCTCCCTCCCTGGCATGTGCTCCAGTTCATTATTTCAGTCATTTCTTGGTAATTCTTCTTGGAGTTGGCTGTTTAAAACTTAGAGCCTCTTATTAAGTTTTGGCCATGGCGGATAAGAGGCAGGACTGTAAGAGCACAGAGATAAACTAATCATCTTAAAACCCTAATTATTAGTATCTTACTGTGACAGACTGTTTTTGCGAGCCAGCCAAATTGAGCCTCAAATGAGGAAAGGCATATCTGTGGAAGTGGTAATAATTTTAAGTCATCTCGATCTGGCTTGGTGTGGCAGAATTCATTAGTGCAGATTAGCACTGTGTGTACAAAGTAAATGAGATATCTAATAGCAAACGCGGAGGTCCGGGGCTCTTAATTTCCCTCCGCATATGAGGGATGATGTTAAGAGGTGATTATTTATATTTTAACATGTGACTTCTGCTATGTAGATTTGTCACTTCTGCTCCTTTTACCAAGTGGTTACACTAAACAGTGTCACTAAACTGTTCACCTCTCACCTTCCTCTGGATTGCAGCTAAAAGGTGACGAGAACAAAACCTCAAATCAGATTAAACTGATGCAGAGGCACGCTGATTCTTTTTCGCGGGGACATGAAGGAAGTTAATTATGTGTGTAAGGAGAAGGTTGGGGAAAAAATAATAAGATTACAAAGAATAATTTGCTGATATAATTACAGCAAAATTGGGTACACACAATTGTAAAATACATGTATTGCTTGACCTGGGTTAGCCAGTGAAATAAATCCTCCTTCTATAGCCTTTGTTAATTTGTTTTTATCATCTCCAAGTGGTGTTTGTGCAGGCAGTTCAATTTGCATGTGTAATTCCACTGTGCAAATTGACAACAAGTAGATAATTCGAGGAAATAGGCTGGTTGCAGGCCCCTGCTATCTTCCAGAGCCTATTCATTTTGAGGAACCGCTGAGGCATGAAACTCATACATCAACTATTTCCTGACAACGCTTAGGCTTATTGTCCCCTAAAATGTCATTACAGCCATTATTTATGAAGCTAATTCATTTATTAAACCATATTTACTCTGACAGAATTTGTCACATTCTATCCATATCCTGAGCCTTGCTTCTGAACAATGTCTTACAATGAGTATGTGTGAACACGTACAGCCTCACAAAGTTTTGAATCAAGCATATTTGCCACATATAATAGTTTGAATATTGCGAGAAAATGGAAGTTGTTCTCTGTTTTATTGGCTTTTTCAGAAACTTTTCATGGCAAAAGCCTTGACATTTTGTCATAGAAGGCTGTGAAATTAGTAAAAATTGCAATTATGTTTTCTGAAAAGGTAATTGCGGTATGATTAAAGATATTGGAAGGATTGATAATTTTTCATCATTGATCTCATGCCTAAAATGCTTTTTGGGTTATTCCTGTTCCTGTATTGAATAATATTTAGGTTTTAGTGCATGTCAATGATCTGCAAAGGCATAAATCTACCTGAAACGCCTCCATTGGACTCCTTTGTTTACTTCCGTAACATAATTACATAACTATGTAACACTCGCGCTTCTATTGGCTAGTGCTCCGACACATACTGATAGGTGATAGGCTAAGTGGCAGGATATCTATAAGTGTTTGACCAATCACAACAGAGCCGGCCAGCTAACCAATCAGAGCAGACTGGGCTCTGGTTTCAGACAGAGGGTGAAAAGAGGTGCTGCAGCACAGGCAGTATGCGAAAAATAAAGAGCTTTTTGAACATTAAAGCATGGAAACACGTCACAGTAGAGACACAAATATGAACCTGAAAGTGAGCATAACCGGACGGAATATTTCTGTTGCACCACAATCCTCAATTAGGAATAGTATTATCACGCATTTAGCTTGTAACACATATTGTGCTTTCTATTGCACTAGCCTACATGTATATTGCTCTAACATTTGCACTAATTGTGAAGCATTAGTTACAACCTGCCTCCTTTTTTTGTCCAAACAGAGCAGAGTTAACATGAGCGTAATCAGATGGATTGCAGCTATTTTAGCGGCTCTGATAAATCCCCCTCTGACAGCCTTCTTCCCAAATGAGTGTGCATTAGTCACTTTTAACGCATTGCAGTCAGACATCTGAAGCTAAAGAGTTCTCGCGCCAAGCCTCCTGGCCTGTTGCTGCTGACTTATGGATCTGTCAGTTTAACACAGCACACTTCATGACACTGTGGATAATTTGCAATTGTGAGTGATGAAGTAACGCATAGGGGGGGTCATACATTTTAATGTTACATGTTCTCTCTGGATAATTCCGTCATACCATTCTCCTGAATCTCTTTCTTTAGACTTACCTGTCACCCAAAAGCACTTATCACAGCAGTGGTGATGAGTTGTGTTTGAACTGTTTTACAATATTGATTTGGAGGCATGACATTTTAATTAATACTGGGTGTTAGCTGTCATATAGGCAGCCAGCCTTATTGGGCGGAATATGAGACAGGCGAGGTGGGAGCAGCGAAGATAAGACTAAAGTACTTACTATGAAAAGGCTGTAAAAAGGGATCAATGTGGAGGGAGAGAGACAGTCATGGGCTGAATTTAAGGTGGAAAAAAAGCCTGTAATATCTGTATTTCTGTCAAGGTCTATTCTCTGGCCGATAACACAAATCATTGAGACACAGCGTGGCCTCTGTATTTCCACAGGTTGCGGAGTACACCATGTTATTGGGAGTCTGCGGTGCCAGCGCGCTAAGAGACAACCAGGGGGGAAATTAGGTAACTTTGTAGCACTCCATTGAACAGCAATAAGCTTTTAGGGCTTAGCGAGCATAAACACATTAAACTGATGAGATTCATCAGCACTCTTGTGTCAAATATATTGTGCCCACAGGCATAGCTCAGCGGCAGCAGACTGCAGAGCGGGAGGAAGGGATGGAGACAAACCAGTCCCGTGTCCTCCAGATGTCCCCTTCTTCACCCGGACTGATGCAGGTGATCTTTTAGCTGAAATATAAACCTTAAAATGTTGTTATTAATATACCATTTCATCCTTGGAATAGCAGAAATATTTAGCCTGGGATTGTAGGGTATTTCAGTTCAGGGGTAAAACAACAACTGCAATAAATCAATGATGATGAGTTACTTTCTGATAGTTGAATTCAATATGTACTGTATTTAATATGAACAATAACAGTAAGGGGTAAACAAAGGTATTTAAAAGTAAGGTTATCCCAAAGCAGTGACTCAAATCTACACACTTACAATTCATAATCATTTGTTAAAAGATACATTATTTGAAGGATGCATAGTGACATAGGGCTCAACAAAGACAACAAGCTAAACAAATGATAATATCTTTGATAAAGTAATACCTGGACAGCAAATTGTCTACATGGTTGTGGTTACATAACAAAAAAGATATTCTCTATCTATTTAGTATGAATCATAAGAAAAGGCAATCCCAAAGTAGCATCTAAAATCTACTCGCTTAAAATTAATAATTGACGATGAAGAGATACATTTACTAGAGGGTGCACAGAGACATAAAGCTAAACAAAGACAACAAGCTGAACTACTGGTACAAATATAAAAAATATAATATACAGATAATAGCTGGGCAGCAAATTGTCTACCGGGTTGTAGGGCTGCTTGATTATGGCAAAAATCATAATCTCGATTGTTTGGGTCAATAATTGATTCCACGATTATTAAAAACGATTATCCATTGACTTTGAAAACATCCATTTATTGAAAAAAAAATTGAACAGTATGTTTTTAACAGTTGATTACCCTGAGCTTTAAGCAGAATTCAACTGAAAAATTAAATAATAATTATAATAATAAAAAAATAATAGTTTTATTTCGATTACGTTGTTTTCGTAATCATTGCAAGCCAAAATCGTAATTGCGATTAAAATACGATTAATTGAGCAGCCCTACCGGGTTGTGTTACTGATCCAAAAAGAAATAATGATTGTATAAATAAAAAGAAGGGGATTAATGTGCATATATTAAAGGTAGTTTATTCACAGTGTATGCATTCTGCTCCCTCCATACGCCACTAAAAGGATATTATGTACATGCCATTGCACGAGGTTTATTACAGATTATACATACAAATATGTACAAATATGTGGAATTTGACTTGACTAATACACTACAACTCTGAATCAAGGTGTGTTTAATCTCACCCTGGCAGACTAATTGTGGTTGTAAGTGAACAGCCATAAAGCCAACCTTTAAACGGGAGCACGCGAGGCATTTGTTCACTTGCAGCTAGTTCACCATTTGATGTATAATTGGTGTAATCTCAGCGCCGCGAAGCTGGAGGACTTTACCCTGATGAAGTGATACATTTAAATTGAAATATTTCTTTCTCAAAGGTAAGAAGGCCCCCTTCAACTTCATTTCACCATTTATCTGTTGTCTCTTCTTTTCCAAATCGCTGTAGCCTCTTGCCTTTTGGATAGTTTCACTGGAGGCAACCAGATTGGCATGAAATGAGCTCAGTTTGACTCGTTATACGGTCCAATCAGATGAGCGCAGATTTCATCTCGGCTGGCCCTGCCCTCCCAGAATCCGACCCCTCGGATGAAATGGACTACATATTCATAGGTTCACTTGCATGGTTGATTATGACGACGAAGATGGAAGGTACAACCTTTCTTCTGTTGTGCGAGAATGAAGATTGGAAATTGAATATGCATTTCCCCCACTGATTGAGTAAAAGGACACAATGACATGGCACCTATCGTTCACCATTCCAAATTAAATTATGAAGAAATCACATTTGCTTTTACACAGACATTATTTATCCCATTCCGCAGTTTACTTTTTCAATATTCAATCATCTCCAGCAGTCTACTTTACAATCCAAACTGCAGAGCTTGTTTTATTTTGTAGCTAAACAGTGTTAGTTCCCTCGTAACTATTCATTACCTTGCCTGACATCAATAGATGCCTTGGAATAATGGGAAATATGACCTGATCAATTAACTATGATGATAACATCTGAGGCTTAAATGCCATCTTTAATTACATGCAGACTTTAGAACACTTTCAACTTGTCTTATTTGCATAAATAGAGAACAACTATCCATCAAAACAAAGGCTTCCTGAGAAGAGAGGCAAGTATGTCTAGGATGCCTAATCAATATTTTAGAGTTTTAAAAAGAAAATAGGTCAAATGCTTTGCCATACTAATTTTATGTATATAATGTTTTCACCTTATCAATGTAAAACAATGAAGCTGTGGCAATTTCCCCTTTATTTGATTTGAATGTCAGAAGTGATTGTCCCCTGCAATAGTTCAGCATTTTTAATTGACCTAATGGAAAAATAGCAATTTAAAAACAGGGCAGTGGTTAGTTCCTTGATAAGACACATTTGTTTTAGTTGTACGGAAGCAAAATACTGATGTTAAACATTGTTTTCTTTTAATTATGTGCATTGGGCACCAAGGACTAAAAATATGTGGTTGGTTGAAGAGATTGGGAAAAGAATGTCATTTCCAGTTGTTATGCATTATGAAAAGGAATGCACAAAAACACTACGATACGTTTGCTAGTTATGTTAACCCTCCTTTATGATAATGAACGGCAATGGCAGTTTCTCAGCACAATTTGATCTCAATTGTCTCCTTATGTGCATCACTGTCATTTTCAGAATTCTGTTTGCCTATATTTAATTCTATTGCAATTTTAGAAAAAATGTATAATTCCTTTTTCACATAAAAGCCCAATGCTAATTAAAGTTATGCGCACCTTCAGTAAGTTCACAGGTAAGCTCTCCATCACTGCACCGTGGCACAGGAGGAGGAAAAAAAGCCCCCATATTGTGGAAATCTCTGTCTCCTTAGAGAAAAAGAGGGGGGAGAGAAAGTAGGAATGCCTTGCCTTCCTCATTACACTGCTGTCATTTACTCTTCATCCCCCCTACTCTTTAGTGGCATTAAGACGGGATGTAAATTTGACAGTTAACGCTGTTAGAAAATGGCTAGTTCAAGAAGGGCAGGAATTAGAGATGGGCATTAGACGCTGATAAGCTCCTTTCCTCTGCCGCGGCGGCTGCTTAACATTCATGGGAAAGTCATCATCAAACAACGTTATCGCAGCTCTGTTGACGGCTGAGGAACATCATCACTATGATAATTTTTTTTATAGCTGTGAGCCAAAAAAGCACTCTTTTATTTCAGCAGTTTGTTAATGAGATGGGAGCTTGTTGGTATGGGCAAATGCAAACTTGCCACTCTCCAGCGTTTGTTTGAGTCCCCCAGCCTCCCCCCACGCCTCCCACAGCACCCCCTCCACACTGTTTAATGTTGCAGGGAGTGGGGGGAGAGGCATTTTTATGTACTCCTTTCGAAGTGCTCTGTGTACATTGCTGAAGGAGGGCCTTTATGTGTACCTTTGCAGATCAGTCGCTCAAAGAGAGGAAAACACGGTTATATCAACAAACGCTCTCTGCTAACAGCCCTGTAGCTGGCACCTGCCACTCACCTGGGATTTAGCCATAGATCTGAATAGAGGCAGAGTGTTGATGGTTATTGAAGCTGAGTTAACTCCCACCAGCTATAAGCATGTGATAGGCTCTGCTTTTAATGATCAAAAGGCTACTTAGACCGGTGGATTTTGAGGCCTTCAGTAATTACGGTTATAAATCATTTGCATTGTTTCTTCCTATTCATTCATTACCGCTCCTAACAGCTCGGTTCAGAGGTTTCACGCACCCTGTTACCACTGGAGCAATTCACATGGCTGCCAAGGCTAAGCTGCTTTCCTATGGATAGGGATGCAAACTGTGGACTGCAGATACTAGAATCTGATTTTGGCTTTAGCGGTGTTTGTGGAGTGGGTTAATTTCATATCAAATCCTTACCAGGGGAGATGACAAATCATCTCTTACTTGCTCTAATTACTTCTAAAAACTTTTTGTTCGCATTACGGTTAGTCAGCAATGTTAGAGGATGAAACCCAGATGAGGATATGTCATGTTGCGATTATACTGCAAGTGCACATAAAGTGTATGTTTAAAAATCGTAGAAGATGCACCGGTCATTTGGCAGAATTCACTGTCAGAATAAGTGAAATGATCCATTCCTAGTAACCCAAAGTATCAGTAGCAATTTCTTTAGACAGTCTGTTTCAAAATACGAAGGTTGTTGCATAAGTACATTTATATAAATTACATTCAGAAACATGCAGTTTAATTATATTGTTGTTAAAGTAGCAATACAGTCATTTGGTTTTATTTCACATTACATCGAATATGTTTGGATTTAGCTTGGACTTGGAAATACTGGAATAGATATTTTTCCTTATTTTCTGACATTTTATATAGGCAAAACTATCAATCTAGAGAATAATTGGGTTAAATAATTGTTAGTTCTAGCCCTAAAAGCTGAGACAAAGATGAAAACTAAGAACAAATAACTCATATCTGGACAACCACATGATACCCTATTGGAGGTTATAATAATCAGGATAATTATCCAGTGAATATATATCATTCACATCTTTCACTTGGCATTAGAGCTGCATCTGTCAGTTTGTTTGAATTCTTGTAAACCTATGAGACTGTGTGGCAAATCACAGTAATTTAAGTTTCTTCAGGCTGACACGGAGTGAGCCCTCAGAAAAGATTTGTTTTAAACATTTTCTGGCACACAGCACCAACATGTCAAAAGCAGGTATAAGAACACGTGAATGTGCCTGTCTGCACAATGCACCGGGGCGCTCTGTAATCATTATGGCAGATGTAAAAACCAGCAAAAGTCAACATTTTCTGGCATGGAATTACTCTAGACGTAGGATCATGCATAAAAAATGTAACATGTCAATTAAAATGCTGTGCTCTTACGTACAGTACTGTAGTGTTCAGAAGTGTTTTTCACAGCTTTCTGACACAGAATTCATAATGATGATTGCATGGTGCCTCAGTTCATTAGAATTCAGCAAATGAATTGAAATAAAAAAAGGAAGACAGAGCAACAGCATTTGTGATTTATACTTGCAAAAAACATAGTTTATTGTAACATTAAGTGCAATCACTTAAAAAATAGATAACTTTATAAAACAGTTGTTAATTTTTTTAGGGTATGTACGTATAGTTAGCTTTGACAATTAAGAATTACAAGATATATGTTATTATGACACAAAATAAGAATGCATAATGTTTGACCAAACACACTGTTATTACTTTGTCTGCAATCAGGCCATACTAACACAGTGGACTTACATAAAGAGCACAGTATAACCTCCATAGAAATAATGTCATCTCGTAAATAATATAGAAAACAGCAATTAAAACGTTATTTCTGGGGTAGTTTATGAGTTAGTTTGATTTAGCTTTTCTAATGTTTTCATTGGGCAATGTGTACTACACCAGCATATCGTTGTGTGAGTCAGCTTGTTGTACAAGTTTGGAGTAATTTCATTCCTTGAAAAACTAGTACAATGCAAATGAATGGCAGATGTGCTGCAATCCTTTTGGATCCACAGTAATTCTGCCTTTTGAGTGGAATCCACAGCATTATCTCCACTTTGGTCTCTGAGCCCATTGTCATGTTAGTTCAATCGTCCTCTGTACTGTAAACCACCGTCGCTCTGTGTCTAGCTGTTATTTAGTGCCACTTAGGGAACGTGGAGACAGAGGAGAGCTTGATCTTTTGTTTCTGGGCACCGAGCTCCTTTCCTGTTAGGCACCCTGGAAAGCATGGAGAATAGAAATGGATCATTTAATGAGACAGGATATTTTACTACGAAATAGCCTTTTCACTATTGATATAATTAACCCAGCACTGATATCTATGTTTAAGTGTTTTTAATATTCAATTTTCTTGACAAATGAATCTTTAAATGCAACCAACAAAAGAGAGTCTAGCAGATTCATTTTTGTTGGAGGATCTGGGGTTGAGTGTTTGGCTCACCAGCTTGTAAACGCCCTTTGGTTTTTCCTTATTTATGATAATGGAATGTAATTCCACCCTTCATTGACATCGCCATCGCTCCCATATGTTGCCACCATTACTTAATCACATTGTCAAAATCCCCATTTCCTCTCATCAATCCTACATTGAGCCTTATTTGTGATCCTCGCTTTCTTTTGCCCTCACCCACTTTATTCACTCTTTTTCTCTCGTTCAATTTCGCTCCACATTGCTGTTTATAATTTCTTTCCTTAGGATGATGGGATTACCGCTTCTGAAATAGCTGTTACTGAGATTTTAGGTCATCTACCAAATCCATTAGGGGTAAATATACAAATAACCCCACTTTTCTCTGCCATGCACTGTGGTCTGCTCCTGCTTCTCATCTTGAGACTTACAGTGCTATTCATAGTAGGTAATCTATATCTCCTTAAATATTTGGTGTCATTGTGTTAGAAGAAATAAACACTTCATGTGGATAAAGGCTATGGTATGACTCAAAGTAACCAGCTTTACCGCTTTTTAAATGTATACTAAAAATCCCTTTGTCACATTATTATCAATAACAGAGCGGCAATGAGAGAGCCAGCTCTAGCCATTTTCATAATTCATAATGTGTTAATTTATAATTAGCTGGTTTAATGAAACTGATACTGCAGTATTAGTTATTAGGTGTACAGTTTCAACAGAAACAAATCCACTCATTCAATACAATAAAAGTGGCCACATGAAAGAAATAAAGTGAAGAAGCAAAGAGCATTGAAGCTAACGAAGTGTATTACACACTTATTAAAGTAATTTTCCCTTTGCCTCCAAGACCTGGC